TCTGGTTTCGGAGTCTTTGGGACCCATGGACGTTAGGCTCTGCAGATGCAGGCAGGCCCTGAGGCTCACGGAAGCGATACTCAGTTGGGGTGGTTTGTCTGAAGGAACACGGAGTGGTGCAGGGGTGTGACCAGGAAGGCAGTAGGGCTTGGTCTCTCGAGGCTCCTGGAGTTCTCTGGGAGGTGGCAGCGGCTGTGCCGGTGACTGCCAGCTGGAGGAAGCTGGGTTCCCATGACATGCAGGATAAGGGCAGGGACAACCCGTGCAGTTTACTCTTTGACTTATACTTGGCTCGTGCAGATGGTGGTCTTTGGAGAGTGGGAGGAGGGTCGGGGCCATGGGTCGGGAAGGAACACTTAGCTCAGGTCATGGACCTGGAAGAGGCCTGGGAGTGACAGACCGTCCTGGGCTCCTGTCCCTGGGCCCCTCCTAGACATCCATGACACTGCAGTGGAGCCTGTATGAGCTGGCCCGCAGCATGAGGGTGCAGGAGGCCCTGCGGGCTGAGGTCCTGGCTGCCCGGCGCCAGGCCCAGGGAGACATGGACAAGATGCTGAAGCTGGTTCCGCTCCTCAAAGCCAGCATCAAGGAGACACTGAGGCAAGTCCACCTTCACCTGTGTCCACCTCCTGCTGACAAAATCCCTGGGCATCGCCAGGCAGGGAGGTGGAGGAGATGGGTCGGGGAAGTGAGAGGTTGTTGGGGATACAGCTGGGATGGAGAGGGGGGAATAGCAGGACCTGCCTCCAGTTTCCCCGGGTGCCTCGGCTGGGCTGGGCACAGGCAGGCTCCAGGTCTTGGGCCTTCAGCCAGGGTCTGTTTCCCCGGCAGACTCCACCCCATCTCTGTGACCGTGCAGCGCTACCTTGCAAAGGATGTGCTTATTCGAGGTTATATGATTCCTGCCAAGGTAGGTGCAGGGCAGGGCAGGGCTGAGGCCGAGCCAGTCAGACAGGGGAGGTTGGACAATTATAGGCAGATGCAGGGGCTGGGGCTCTGTTGTGTTGGTGGTGCCCTGGGCCACAGAACCCTAGTTTGCACCCCGAGGAGTGGCCTCTGGAATGCTGGGAGTGGGGTGGGGAGGCGGGCCTGGGGTAGGAGAGAGAATCCATGGTGGCCTGAGTCTCAGGGTATACTCTGGGATGGGACAATCCCCTGGGACACATGTCCTTTGGTCTGTTGCTATCCCAGGATCCTAGCGGACCTGGGGCCGGGGACACCATCCTAGTTGATGGGTGGGTGTATGTTGGGCCAGAGCTCAGTCCAGGATCAGTGGGCAGCCATTCTGGGCAGCAGTGTGGGGGCTCCTCAGGCCTCAGGCCAGGCTCCTCAGGCCTCGGCCCACCTTGCCGCAGACACTGGTGCAGGTGGGCACCTTCGCCATGGGCCGGGACCCTGCCTTCTTCCCAAAACCGGAGTGTTTTGACCCAACCCGGTGGCTGAACAAAGATAAGGCCACCACCTACTTCCGGAACCTGGGCTTCGGCTGGGGGACGCGGCAGTGTTTGGGCCGGCGCATCGCGGAGCTAGAGATGACGCTCTTCCTCATCCACGTAAGCCAGGGTCACCTGCCCCCCACACCCCCTGCCCTGCTCTGCCCGCAATCCCTTTCTCCTCATGGGGGCTGGCCCATTCCTCATACACCGGTGCCCCTGGCCATCCACGTCCCCTCCCCACCAGCAGGGATGGGGTGGGGTTGGGTGGAGGGGGCTGCATGGAAGCAAGTTACGAGCAAGGTCTGAATCCAGGAGAGAGCACAGGTGTGTGCCCAGGTGCTGTGAGGACTTAGAGGAGATGCTGGAGGCAAACTTCGCAAAGCCCCCTGCCCCAGC